AGGACTACCACCCTCCACCACCTGTGAGCCCCAGGACTACCTCCCACCACCTGTGAGCCCCAGGACTACCACCCTCCACCACCTGTGAGCCCCAGGACTACCACCCTCCACCACCTGTGAGCCCCAGGACTACCACCCTCCACTTGTGAGCCCCAGGACTACCACCCTCCACCTGTGAGCCCCAGGACTACCACCCACCACCACCTGTGAGCCCCAGGACTACCACCCTCCACCACCTGTGAGCCCCAGGACTACCTCCCTGCACCTGTGAGCCCCAGGGCTACCACCCTCCACCTGTGAGCCCCAGGACTACCACCCTCCACCTGTGAGCCCCAGGACTACCACCCTCCACCTGTGAGCCCCAGGACTACCACCCTCCACCTGTGAGCCCCAGGACTACCACCCTCCACTTGTGAGCCCCAGGACTACCACCCTCCACCTGTGAGCCCCAGGACTACCACCCTCCACCTGTGAGCCCCAGGACTACCTCCCACCATCTGTGAGCCCCAGGACTACCACCCTCCACCACCTGTGAGCCCCAGGACTACCACCCTCCACTTGTGAGCCCCAGGACTACCACCCTCCACCTGTGAACCCCAGGACTACCACCCTCCACCTGTGAGCCCCAGGGCTACCACCCTCCACCTGTCAGCCCCAGGACTACCACCCTCCACCTGTGAGCCCCAGGGCTACCACCCTCCACCTGTCAGCCCCAGGACTACCACCCTCCACCTGTGAGCCCCAGGGCTACCACCCTCCACCTGTCAGCCCCAGGACTACCACCCTCCACCTGTGAGCCCCAGGGCTACCACCCTCCACCTGTGAGCCCCAGGACTACCACCCTCCACCTGTGAGCCCCAGGGCTACCACCCTCCACCTGTCAGCCCCAGGGCTACCACCCTCCACCTGTGAGCCCCAGGACTACCACCCTCCACCTGTCAGCCCCAGGACTACCACCCTCCACCTGTGAGCCCCAGGACTACCACCCTCCACCTGTCAGCCCCAGGACTACCACCCTCCACCTGTGAGCCCCAGGGCTACCACCCTCCACCTGTGAACCCCTGCAGGACTACCACCCTCCACCTGTGAGCCCCAGGGCTACCTCGCACCACCTGTGAGCCCCAGGGCTACCACCCTCCACCTGTCAGCCCCAGGACTACCACCCTCCACCTGTGAGCCCCAGGGCTACCACCCTCCACCTGTGAACCCCTGCAGGACTACCACCCTCCACCTGTGAGCCCCAGGGCTACCTCGCACCACCTGTGAGCCCCAGGACTACCACCCTCCACCTGTGAGCCCCAGGACTACCTCTCCTCACCGATACACACACCCCTGGCACAAAGTATGCCCACATCCCAGATTTTTCAGGTAATGTCTATGCCCTCTGCTGGGTATTTCTCTATAAATGATAAACCATTCTTAATTTTCCAGCCAAAAGTCCAAAAAACTTACGTTGTCGTAAAAGCTGACACCATTTACTAATATTTATTACAATAGGCAGATAATATTGCTGCTGGGTTGTATAAATAAATTCCCTCATATTAGACGGCAGTGGAATTTTCCTCATATAGGAAACGAGATATCATTGCCACGTCGCTATTAATTTCACCAGTTTATTCTGTTGGGAATTATTCTTAATACAGCAGTCTTAGGAAAACTTCTTACTTGAATTTAATTAATTATTAGTACAATAATAGAGTAAATGTAGGCCCTCTTACGACTGTAGGCCCTCTTACGACTCCTCTTACGACTCTCTTGTCCACTAGACAAGAGAGCCAGTGGAGGAGGGCCAGGAGTCAGCCATGGTTAATTTTAACAATAGGTACTAATATGAGGTACTGTCCCGTCCGATTCCTATATTATCTAGCTTATTAGAGGCCTTAAATATTTAGATTTAGGATATTTTCCGGTTATTACACGAGACAGCGACACAACCCAGGTAAATATTCCTTGGTGCTCATCTAATAATCAATATACTATATTTCCTCTGATATAACTGTCATATTAGGATTCCTGATATTATTGGTGAGTGTTCTTTGACAGGTGGAACAGAAGAGGAACATCACTAGTGACTTAGTACTCCAGTACATGAGTAGGAGGCCAGCCACTCCCACAAGTAGGAGGCCAGCCACTCCCACAAGTAGGAGGCCAGCCACTCCCACAAGTAGGAGGCCAGCCACTCCCACAAGTAGGAGGCCAGCCACTCCCACAAGTAGGAGGCCAGCCACTCCCACAAGTAGGAGGCCAGCCACTCCCACAAGTAGGGGGCCAGCCATTCCCACAAGTAAGGGCCAGCCATTCCCACAAGTAGGAGGCCAGCCACTCCCACAAGTAGGAGGCCAGCCACTCCCACAAGTAGGAGGCCAGCCACTCCCACAAGTAGGGGGCCAGCCACTCCCACAAGTAAGGGCCAGCCACTCCCACAAGTAGGAGGCCAGCCACTCCCACAAGTAGGAGGCCAGCCACTCCCACAAGTAGGAGGCCAGCCACTCCCACAAGTAAGGGCCAGCCACTCCCACAAGTAGGAGGCCAGCCACTCCCACAAGTAGGAGGCCAGCCACTCCCACAAGTAGGAGGCCAGCCACTCCCACAAGTAGGAGGCCAGCCACTCCCACAAGTAGGAGGCCAGCCACTCCCACAAGTAGGAGGCCAGCCACTCCCACAAGTAGGGGGCCAGCCACTCCCACAAGTAAGGGCCAGCCACTCCCACAAGTAGGAGGCCAGCCACTCCCACAAGTAGGAGGCCAGCCACTCCCACAAGTAGGAGGCCAGCCACTCCCACAAGTAAGGGCCAGCCACTCCCACAAGTAGGGGGCCAGCCACTCCCACAAGTAGGGGGCCAGCCACTCCCACAAGTAGGAGGCCAGCCACTCCCACAAGTAGGAGGCCAGCCACTCCCACAAGTAAGGGCCAGCCACTCCCACAAGTAAGGGGCCAGCCACTCCCACAAGTAGGAGGCCAGCCACTCCCACAAGTAGGAGGCCAGCCACTCCCACAAGTAGGGGGCCAGCCACTCCCACAAGTAGGAGGCCAGCCACTCCCACAAGTAGGAGGCCAGCCACTCCCACAAGTAGGAGGCCAGCCACTCCCACAAGTAGGAGGCCAGCCACTCCCACAAGTAGGGGGCCAGCCACTCCCACAAGTAGGAGGCCAGCCACTCCCACAAGTAGGGGGCCAGCCACTCCCACAAAGTGGATCGACTGGCTTATTCATCCGTGTTCATAATGGTAGTCTAGGATATAACAATAATAAGGTAAGGCCTCCCCATTTAGTTAATATATATATATATATATATATATATATATATATATATATATATATATATATATATATATATATATATATATATATATATATATATATATACTGTATATATATATATATATATATATATATGCGAACAAGCCTGAATGGTCCCCAGGACTATATGCAACTGAAAACTCACACCCCAGAAGTGACTCGAACCCATACTGCCAGGAGCATCGCAAATGGTATGTACAGGACGCCTTAATCCACTTGACCATCTCGACTGGACATAAGGAGGTGATAGCCGAAGCTATTTGAACCACCCCCGTGCTGGCACCCGGATGGTAATCTTGGGCATAGCATGAGTTCGAGTCACTTCTGGGGTGTGAGTTTTCAGTTGCATATAGTCCTGGGGTCCATTCAGGCTTGTTTGCATATGTGTTCCTCACACGTGCCCCAAAGAATGAGGTGATTTGATAAAATGCTATGCCCAAGATTACCATCCGGGTGCCGGCAAGGGGGTGGTTCAAATAGCTTCGGCTATCACCTCCTTATGTCCGGTCGAGATGGTCAAGTGGATTAAGGCATCCTGTACATACCAGTTGCGTTGCTCCTGGCAGTATGGGTTCAAGTCACTTCTGGGATGTGAGTTTTCAGTTATATATATATATATATATATATATATATATATATATATATATATATATGTCGTACCTAATAGCCAGAACGCACTTCTCAGCCTACTATTCATGGCCCGATTTGCCTAATAAGCCAAGTTTTCATGAATTAATGTTTTTTCGTCTACCTAACCTACCTAACCTAACCTAACCTAGCTTTTTTTGGCTACCTAACCTAACCTTACCTATAAATATAGGTTAGGTTAGGTTAGGTAGGGTGGTTAGGTTCAGTCATATATCTACGTTAATTTTAACTCCAATAAAAAAAAATTGACCTCATACATAGAGAAAAGGGTTGCTTTATCATTTCATAAGAAAAAAATTATAGTAAATACATTAATTCAGGAAAACTAGGCTTATTAGGCAAATCGGGCCTTGAATAGTAGGCTGAAAAGTGAGTTCTGGCTACTAGGTACGACATATATATATATATATATATATATATATATATGTCGTACCTAGTAGCCAGAACGCACTTCTCGGCCTACTATGCAAGGCCCGATTTGCCTAATAAGCCAAGTTTTCATGAATTGTTTTTCGACTACCTAATCTAACCTAACTTTTTCGGCTACCTAACCTAACCTAACCTATAAAGATAGGTTAGGTTAGGTTAGGTAGGGTTGGTTAGGTTCGGTCATATATCTACGTTAATTTTAACTCCAATAAAAAAAAAATTGACCTCATACATAATGAAATTGGTAGCTTTATCATTTAATAAGAAAAAAATTTGAGAAAATATGTTAATTCATGAAAACTTGGCTTATTAGGCAAATCAGGCCTTGCATAGTAGGCAGAGAAGTGCGTTCTGGCTACTAGGTACGACATATATATATATATGATGAATGTCTGCTAATCAATAATTTTTATTAAGCACATATAAACCATAAACCCCTCCATAATGTGTAAGGAAATAGGTTTCTGGGAATTTTAAGAAATACAGTCCACTTTAAACCATCATACAATTGGCTCTCAAAAAATGTCAATTAACGTAATATATAAGTTACTATATACATTAATATGAATTAAATAAATATACATCTCACAAGTCCCCCCCCCCCACATAAATAGTGTACTCACCCCCAATATTTTCTGATCTTGGCCGCGCTGTGTCTGGCCGCGCGCCTCCCTGAGCATGGTGTCCCTGAGGGCGGCGAGGGCGTGGGCGGTGTGAGGGCGGGGGTCGCTGCCCAGGTCCCAGCGAGCCCCCCACATGCCACCCAGGATCTGCGCGTCGTGGCTGGGATGGTCCCTCATCACGTGGAAGTGTTTTCCTGTGGCCAGCCATGCCTCTACTGCCGCCCGCTCTCTCTCACTCACCTGCAACGTCACACTCATCATTACCACCACACTTGCTACGGCTCCTTCACCCTGGATCACTAGTGCATCACATATACCTAATTGGCATTTTGCAGTGTGCCTTCAATTTGTAAGATTGGTGCCGTCTGATGTGTGGCTCCACTACACCGACCACCACCCCGGTGTGGGCCCGGCAGTTATCATGGCGGCCTCACACTTATGATGGAGACCTCGCGACCTCTGGAAAAGTACTAAGTAATTATCAAAAGAGGGTTTCAAGCCGAGAAGACTATGGAACACCATGCCATTGGTTATTCAAATAACTAAACTAAATATCATTCAGGATGCAAATGCGAGATTAAAAGGACACAGGATGAGCAACATCAAAATTACCTGATTCACCAAGCATTGTATGGAGGAAGAAGCAACCCGGAGGGACAAGAGGAACCTAGACCATCCTGAGTACCTGGACATTCTGCAAGGAAGTGCACGACTGTGAGTAAGCTAGATAATAAGGAGCAGTGCTGATACACAACCCAGCCAGAGCTAGTTCTCATTATCTTCTATGGTGTAATAACGAAGGTCACTGGGGATAAGATCACCTTCCAGAATGTGCAGTTTGTTGTGGTGTGGTGCCTATGGTGCCAGACCAAAGGTGGAAGATTGTGGAGTCAATGAATGGGGGAAGAAATCCGAATATGTAATCCTTTTTCAGAAAAAGTACGAATGGCATCCATAACAGTGGTGTCCCAAAAGTTCATTCAAGATAACTCCATTATGGCTGCAAAATTCGCGGTCCTAAATCTGCAAAAAACAGCCAGTATTGGATTTCGACCTCCACGGAATGGAAAAGGTTAAAAAGACTCCTGAGCCATGAGAGCAATGCAAGAGTCAATCACAATGAAAAGGAACACTGATGCTTATAAAGCAGCTGTTAGGATTAAAGTATTTTGTAGTATTAAGGTATTTTGTAGAATTAAGTACTACATAGGTTAAGTGCAGATAATTAAGTGCAGTTAATAGTTAAATGTTAGGTTCAGTCACTCTTCGTAGCCTTCATAGATCTGACGAAGGACTTCGATCTCGTCAGTGGGAATGGCCTGTTCAAGATCCTTAAGATCGGATGCCCACCCAGGCTCCTCAGCATCATCAGATCTTTCCACGAGAACATGAAGGGCACCGTGGTCTTTGATGGCTTTACATCAGACGCCTTCGACATCCGAAGTGGAGTAAAGTGGGGCTGAGTCCTGGCTCCAACCCTATTCAGGGTCCAACCCTATTCAGGGTCATCGTCGCAGTTATGCTGCAGCACGCCTTTGGATTTGCCACGAAAGGCATCCGCTTCCAGACCAGGTCGTATGGAAAGTTCTTTAACCTCACCAGGCTGAGAGACAAGACAAAGGTTCGGCTGAGGTGTCTGCGTGACTTCGTGTTTGCTGACGACGCAGCAGTCACCGCCCACTCAGCCGAAGACCTCCAACGCCTCATGACCCATTTCAGTGAGGCCTGTCAGGCTTTCGAACTCACCATCAACCTGAAGAAAACACAGGTCATGGGACAAGGAGTGGACTTCCCATGTAATGGTATGTGCAGACCATAGCTCCTTCCACTTCCCCCTTCCCCTTCCTCTTCCCCTTCCCTGCCCTTGCTTGCCTTCCCTCCCTTTGGTCACCCCTCTCATTCGTCACAGTCTGACCCTCGTGGTCATAAACAGTTTGTAGTTACTTGTTCCCCTCTCTCTCCTGTTCATCTTTCCAGTGACAAATTGGAACTAGTACCTCAGGGCCAATAAACTTGTGTTCTCAAGTTACACATGGGTGCCCAGCCGGCATTTCCCACAGAAAAGTTGTTGGTGCTTTCCCAGTTACTAGAGTTTTTTGTCAAGAGGAATTGACCCTTATGGTCAAGCCTGATTCTGATTGGTTGAAGACATGGAGGCCTGTGGAGGCGAGGTCCCCACAGGGTAGTGCCTGTCCATGCCATTGGCCAAGATTCTAGATCACCTAGATTCTAGAATGTTTAAATATGCTTAGGAAAGGTGAGTGTCGATTTGGATCAATATGTAGGTTTTTCCATCCTGACATGTGCCAAACCTCACTGGAGGACAGAAAATGCTATGACCTCAGCTGCCCACACTTTCACGTGAAAGGCACAGAACGCTACATAAAAAGTGGCAAGCAGGATAATGAATTTGGAGGAAACTCTATAAATTTTTTATACCAGACCGACAGAGAATTCAAAAGGAGCAGCATGGAGAGTGTATGGAACTGGATGCCAGATCCACTTGCATTCCAGAATTACAGATACAATTACCCAACGAAAGGGAACTACAACTACGACAGACAACTGCCCTACAACAATCAGTACTGGTCAGAACAAACTCATTATGTCCACGCATAATGGGCTTGCCGAAAAAGTCTCCCATTCAAACTATCACCAATAGAGTAACCTCATTCATCTTTGCCAACGTACAAGGACTGAAAACAAGAACAAACAAGAAAGTACAGTTCATAAATGGCCTCACGGAGTCAAATGCAGTATTTGGAGCTTTCACAGAAACCCATGCAGGGGAATTCTTAGAGAGTGAGATCTGGATTCCAGGATATAACCTATACAGGTGTGATAGGAAAATTATGTCACATGGAGGAGTGGGTCTGTATATTAGGGAAGACCTTGTATGCTCGGAGCTCCTAAACGTTACAAATGAGGTGGTAGAGGTACTGGGATTAAAAATAGAGAAAATAAATTTAGTGATTATTCTAATATACAAACCGCCAGATGCAACGGCTGAGGAATTCACAGAACAGATAAGCAAAATAGAGAATAGCCTTGATAATTTGGAGAACCCGATACCTGATATTATCTTCCTAGGTGACTTCAACTTGCCTAGTCTCAGGTGGAAAATAGCAAACAATAATATTATACCAGGAAATCTATCAGGACCTAGCCAACCACAGATTAGAGAACTACTTAGATTCTGTGACAAATTTTCACTGAATCTGCAGATATCGGAGCCAACGAGAAATGAAAATATTCTAGATCTGGTCTTTACGAACAATGAAGACATTATCAGAGACATTACGATATCAGATACCACATACTCAGATCACAAGCTCATTGAAGTGCAAACGACCATCAATACTCAGAATAGACCTAAAACGTTGATAAAGCGAGAGGGGCTATTCAGTAAATTCAATTTTAATAATAAAAGGATAGACTGGGAGATAATAAACAGGGAACTTACAAACATTCCATGGGAAACTGTTCTAAGTAACACAAGTCCTACAGAAGGAATAGAAAAACTGACTTCGGAAGCGTATGAAGTCTGTCTGAAACATGTTCCTTTGAGGAAAGCCAGAAAAAGATCTAACGTAGAAAGAGAACGCAGACGACACTATAAACGCAGTAAAAAAATAACGGAACTGCTTATGCAGACACGAATTTCCCGTCAAAGAAGGAATAATTTAAATAGGGAGATTGAAGAAATCGAGCGGAAATTGAAACACTCATATGAAACTGAAGAAAGGCAGTTAGAACAGAAAGCAATTCAGGAAATAAAGAAAAATCCAAAATATTTCTTCACATATGCGAAATCAAAAGCAAAAACCACTGCCAGTATTGGACCTATTCGTACAAGTGAAGGTTCATACACGGAGGATGACAAAGAAATTAGTGAAATCCTAAAAAAGCAGTATGAGGACATGTTTAGCACTCCAATAAACAACATGAAGGTGGAAGATCCAGACAATTTCTTTATGCGGGATATTCAAACCCCTGTAAATATAACTGATATAAACACGAGCGCACTAAATTTTGAAAGAGAAATTGAAAACATGCCCATGCACTCGGCCCCAGGTCCAGACTCATGGAATTCAATATTTATAAAGAAATGCAAAGTGCCGGTAGCACAGGCACTCAGTATAGTGTGGAGGAAGAGCTTGGACACGGGGGAGATACCAGATGCACTTAAAGTAGCAGACATAGCCCCTCTACACAAGGGAGGGAGCAAAAGCATTGGCAAAGAATTATAGACCAGTTGCACTAACATCGCACATCATAAAAGTATTTGAGAGAGTGATTAGGAGTCAGGTCACCAATTTCATGGAGACCAATGACCTTCACAACCCAGGCCAACATGGATTTCGAGCGGGAAGATCGTGCCTCTCACAGCTACTTGAGCACTACGACAAAGTCACTGAGGCATTAGAAGAAAAACAGAATGCGGATGTGATATACACGGACTTCGCAAAGGCTTTCGATAAATGTGACCATGGCGTGATAGCACACAAAATGAAGTCAATGGGAATAACCAGTAAAGTAGGACGCTGGATACTCAGTTTTCTGACAAACAGGACTCAGCGAGTAACGGTCAACCATATAAAATCTAGTTTAAGTTCAGTTAAAAGCTCTGTACCTCAGGGTACAGTCCTTGCACCGCTGCTTTTCCTTATTCTCATATCAGATATAGACAAAAATACAAGTCACAGCTTCGTATCATCCTTTGCAGATGACACAAAAATCAGTATGAAAATTACCTCGGCTGAAGACATTGAAAAACTTCAAGCTGATATTAATAAAGTTTTCGACTGGGCATCAGAAAATAACATGATGTTTAACAGTGATTAATTCCAGGTACTCAGGTACAGTAAAAATGAGGACCTTAAAATAATACAGAGTACAAAACACAATCAAATGTACCCATAGTAGGAAAACAGCATGTAAAGGATTTAGGAATAATAATGTCTGACGTCCTAACGTTTAAGGAGCATAACCAAGCAAATATTGCGACAGCCAGAAAAATGATAGGATGGATTATGAGAACTTTCAAATCCAGGGATCCCATCACAATGGTTGTACTCTTCAAGTCACTTGTGTTGTCCCGTCTTGAGTACTGCTCAGTACTCACTTTCCCCTTCAGAGCAGGAGAGATTGCTGAAATAGAGGGAATACAGAGAATATATACGGCACGCATAGACGCAATAAAGCACCTAAATTATTGGGATCGTCTCAAAGCCCTC